ACAAATTTGTATAGAAACGCGACTCAAATCGCGCCTAGTGTTCTATATAGTATTGCGCCGCCCTCTAACTAACAGTAGCAGTAGCAGTGCTAGCTCGCACCTCTACCTATAGGCTTGTTCTACGACAACTATAGCATTATATGCTACTAGGGTGTTAATAGGCGCGCCTACTATACAGATCTATTAAGTCTATAGTCTACAAGCAATACTTCTATACGTATTTCTACTATAATATAAACAATACCTCGGATTTGGCTATACCGCTATTTTGCTAACAAACTTTAGCTTCATTTCTAGTAATATACCTAGTATCTATTAGCAGAGAATGCGGGGTCGTTAAAGTCTTTTAAAACAGTGCGAAATCTATTAAATTGCGACTATACGACCTCTTACTATCGACCTTTAGTATGCTAGCGGAAATCGCACTACTACTACTACGGTCGACCTAGTAACTACGACGCGTAGCGACGACGAGATTACGTTTTCTATAGTTACGCACACTACGGCGCGGACTTCTATATCTTGCCGAGTCCGCTGCGGCAGGAACTTGCCGGCGTAGCGTATCCTAGCGCTTTAGGTATTATATAGTTTGCCTCCGATACAAGATAGGTACGTATAATAGCTAGTATAATGTCGATAGTCTTACGCCGTACAAGGCTAACAGTTAGTGCGGCGCTTACTCTTTTTTCGACTAATAAGAAGGTTAGCCTATAGGGGTAGCGTTAGCTGCTAAAAGGTGCTTTCGGTGTTCGGCGGTAGCACGGTCGATTTGGGCCTAGTCCTTAGGTTTGTCGTATTAGCCTAGTAGATAGCTAGTGCTGTTATAATTAAAGCACTTTAGTCCGGTTAGGGGATTGCTATAGCTATTGCCGCTATTGTTAGCCGAGCGATTAGTACTATAGGGATACGAGCCCCTTCTACGGCCCCTATCGCGGCCTCCTCTATATAGCCGCCGGCTACGGCTTCTTCTACGATCGTTACTATTCCTATTGTTAGCATTGTTGTCTTAGTAGGAACCTTGGTTTCCTCCGCGGCTACGGTTGCTACGGTTGCTAGTAGGTCGGATCCTTAATTCTAGTCGTTACTAGAGCTAGATAGCTCGTTCGGCAGTTTCGACTTTAACTATAAACTAAATGCGTATAAGATTGGCCTGTTCAAACATACGGCGGCGGTCTAACTTAAGGACTAATTCCTATCTCAATTTAGGGCGTATTTCGGAGATCTAGATAGAATTAGTTTTAGTCGGGAGGTCGTCTTCGAGGGTCTTTAAATAGGCCTTAAATAAGCGAGCCGATTAATTAGTCTTTTGCTTAGCTCGAAGGTACTAGTCCTAAGCGTGTTATTGCCTTAGTATAGGGTTTCTAAGGGTGTCTAGCATAATGGTTTTGTAGGTCTACTACTAAACAGCAGTCTAGTTATTAAGGGAGTCAAAATAGTTATCCTAGGTGCGTTTTAGGTCGCCGTTAATGTACTATATAGCATAGACGACTAGTGAATAGTCATTTAGTAGAGCCCTTAGTGCGTTTCGTTAGTTAAGCTTACAGTTACGGATATAGTCGTTGTATTGCTTTCGACTAGAGCCGTTAAATACGGTATAGTCCTTAAGTTTAGCATCCTTCTTCTAGATTGGGACTAATAGTAAGGAAGGGCCTACTATCGGCTTAGTGTTAGTTGTTAGGGCCTCCTAAAGGCGGCGAATTTCGAGGAGGTTATCCTTTAGCTATTATTCTTAACGTAGGGCAGTAAGCCTGTTTTAGGTGGCTTCTTAGAGTCTCCCTACTAGTTAGGGGCCAAAGGCTAGCTAGCTATATCGTCGGTTGATAATGTTGTTAAGAATGTCGTTAACAGGCAATTCTAGATTATTACCTAGAATTATAGGTTCTTCTTTAATAGGCTCTCCGGTAGGCTCTTTAGTAGAAGGCACTTTAGCAGGCACTTTAGCAGGAACTGTGCTGCTAGCGTTGTTATTGCTAGCGCTGCTAGCGGTAGCACGGTTGTTATTGCTTCGTAATAAGCCGGCTATTATAAGGGGTAACACTAATAATGTATTATAGCCCCTAAGATGCGGATATAGCGGAATTAGTAGATATCGGCTTAGTGCGATTAACTCGGTGTAATGGGCCGTATAGAAGGCCTTGCTTAATAATTGGTACGGTTGTTTCGATAGAATAGTACGTATAGGTCCCGTTCTTCGGGCGCAATATAGTTAGATTAGTTATTATAGCTACACCGCTAAAAGCTTGAAATAAGGACTATCTAGCTGCTGCCCTTAAAGGGTAGATCGAATACTATATAAGAAGGGTATGTTAGCAGGTAGATAGGGTAGTAGTAGGTACGAGTAGTATTCGATAAGGAGCTAGGAGGAGAGGGAGGAAGGCAGGAGAGTTGGCCTAACGCTAAGCGCCAAGCCCTGCCTAAGGCATTAAGACCCTAGCTTTACTCGGCCTAGTTACATGCCAATTACGTGTAGCCTCTTTAGCCCTAATAATAGGTTATAGCGAGTCGACTCTAGCGGAAGCCCGCTCTAAGGTCTAGGCTCCTATTAATATTATCTTTAGAGACAAGGCGGCGGCAAGTTTCTAAGCAGCCGTAGGTCTAGGTTTTATACTAGTAATACTATCTAAGACTCCTACTCGTTCTCTTCTAAGGCCGGGCCTTCCGAAGGATATCTCTTTACCTATAGTATTACTAGAAGGGTTAAAAGATAGGTTAGAGGGTAAGGAGCTTCGGGTAGGGTATTTCTAGTAGGTATTGCAGACACCGCCTTTTGTCGATTTAGCGCTAATACGGTCCCTTTAGAAGCTGTATATCGATAAGGACTTCGATCTTATTACTATCGCTAATATAGATAAGAAGACCTAGAAGGAAGAGACTTAGTTAGCGAGTAGAATACGGTTTAAGGTTAAGGAAACAATCGAGAAGTTCTTACTACTAAAGGCTAATAAGATTATAGCGGCGGAGCTAGCCGGAGCTAAAGAAGCTACGTAAAGGAACGAATTTGGCTTCAATTCTTGCATTTATTATACAACGTTAACACTATTATTCTTTATAATTACAAGCGGCGGCGCTATATAAGACTAAATATATCTTATATATCTAATTACTAGTATTTAAATGCGTTGTATATTAAGAAACTTGTAGTATCTATAAGCTAGCTATTCGAATATTCATATTATTTCTCTAGGCTATCTACACTAATAAAGTTAGTATACATTAGCGTAGGCGCCTTACTGCCTAACAAGCTTCTAGTATCTAGATCTATTCTTCTTTAGATTCTTCCTCGCTATCTATATCCTTAAACTACTTATTTATTATCGCCGCTAGCGTAGATAGAGCCTACGCGTACTATACGGCCTTATCTAGATCGAGACCTATAAGATCTTGTACGTAGCCGGCTGCACTAATAAAGTCCTCCTCCGAAAACTCGAAATCGCGATAGTATACGTTATATCTAGCATGCTCGAAGAGTTTCTACGCTCGTAGACCGTTGTATCGCTAGAGGCAATAATATAAGAAGTCGCCGAAGTTCTTAAAGCAATCTGCGTCTCGGATATGCTTTTTAATAAAGGCTTTTAAACAGTTAAAGGTCTGTTCGATAGGATTAAGATCCGGTAAGTACGGCGGCAAGTACTCGAGTTAGTACCTAGCTAACAATATCGCATTTCTAACCTCTGTACTATAGTATATACTAGCATTGTCTATTACAAAGATTATAGGCGGATAGCCTTCGAGCGTAGGTATAACTCTCTCGGTTATCTAGTTAACAAAGATCTCTCGAGTAATTAAGCCTTATCGACTTATCGTATAAGGCAGGTATCTATTAATAGTAAAAGCCGGCAATATCGACTAGCGGACCTTACGCTAAGCGTACCTAAAGTCGCGGCAATCTATACCCTTTAGAGACTATCTATACTTGCGCTAACTAGTCTTCTAATTGTAGGCCGTCTCGTTAATAAATATTAACCTATCTACCGGCTATTTAGCGCACCTAAACATCTATAGAGCCCTTAGTAGCGGGTTACGCTCCTTCGCGATTCTATAATACGCTTTACGAGTCTAGTTATACTTCTTTAGTACTATCGACAAGTGCTTATATTTTAACGTTTCCTCGAGCTCTAGCTATTCGTCGATTAGAACCTCTATTATCTCCGCAAAATAAGTATTAGGTCGAGAGCCTAGGTAGGCAAGAATAAAGGTCTCTTAAGTATAGCTTAAGATCGTTAGTCGGCCGCGCTTTATTATACGAGGTAGATATAACTCGCTAAATAGCTTCTAGTTGTTAAGTAGTCGATATATTGTCTGCCGATTAATTAGAAGCCTCGAATTCTCGATAGTTTAGTCTACATTGTCGCCCTTCGCAAAGCAGTCTTTAATTAGCTACTAATGCTCTAGAGAAAGCTCTTTTCCTAGTTATATAGTTATTATACCCTTAAAATAGCTATACTACTGTCCTATAGCGACGACTTTAGCTTCAAAATGGACTAGAATACTAGGAGCTATAAGGCAGAGGAAAGAAGCAGCTTGGAAGAGCAAGAATTAGTGAAATTACGGTGTAAAGCTGCTCCTTACTGCTTAGCGGCTCCTCCAACCGGAAATGACAGCTATTTCCGGAACCCCAGTAGCGAAGGAGAACTTCAATGACCAAGGCCAGCAAGTGCAGGATCTTGATTCCATCAGAGCTACTTTGCAACAGCGGCAGTCATCAAAGTGTTGAAGGCACATCATTTAGAGCAGGTCAATGATCGAAAATGAAATTAGAACTAGACAGTGCCAAATAAAATTTCTCAGTCAGGCAGAGTAGCTGCAGCAAGATCCATCAAAAATCCTTCGTTCATCATCACACTCATTACAACCCCATGAATCCATATCGCATCCCTCATAAATTCCATCAGATCATGAACACGTCCTTTCCATCCCATCCCAAACACCAAAATTCAACCCCAAACAGCCTATCCCATCCCATCCCATCCCGACATCCCGATGCTATACATTTCCAAAATCTAAGAACCTCCCACAAAAATCGACAACTTCTTCGGACTAGGACTAGACACCAATCCGCTCTGATCATCCCCATAATCCGGGGCAACATCATCGTAAGAAAAAGCATATCCCCGCCCATCGACTTCCATCTCATGCACAAATTTCGAATACCAATTCTTAGGTCCAGAAGTAGGGTTAGTATAGTATTTGGCGGAAGGGAGTCCAGGTTGCAAGTTTCCTCCCGCCAAGAAAAATGTCGCGCGATTGAAAGCAGCGCATAATCGGGGCACGACAGCGAGATGGACTGCGTTGTCTCCGGTTTGAACCGCGAAGGGTCCTGTGTTGCAACCAAAGATGTCGGCGGCGTTGGGTTTGTTGTAGCTGCGATTATCGCCATCGCATTTGAGCTGAGAGCCAGATACGCGGCAGGTGACGTTGCCGGGGGTCGTTTGCGTGTTAATGATCAAGTCGTGCGTTGTGTAATGTGTCCAGACTCGGTTGACGTATTGCGAGAAGTAGTCGCCAAAGGCGGTCGGGTTTTGCGAAATCAGGTTCGATGGCGCGATGACTCTGATCAATTGGCTGTTGCTGCTCCGGTAGACGCAAAGGTCATCCCATCGACGACCGTCCTTTTGCGCCTGGGCCTTAAGCAGCTTACACAGACGAGGCGCTGCATCAGCGGGAGTTCCGAGCACCGTATGCTTCTGCCCGTTCTGCCCTTCAAGCTCAATTCCAAGGGGTAGACCAACGAAGTCCACAGCCGTGATATCTGCGTACAATCCGTAGGCAGCGGCCCATGATAATTCTGCAAAGCCATAGTTGACTGCTGAATTAGGATCATTCGCATTGACAGACGCAGGCTCTACGAGACCTGGTCCGTTCGGTGTTGCGACAACGTAGAATTTCAGAGTTCCATCCACAATCCATATTCTCGAGCTCTCCAGATAGCCGGGTAGGGTGAGTGATAATGTCGTATTCGACTTGCCCAACGGAATCGCGATCTGATCGGTGATCGCAGTCGGGGTACCTGAGCTCGTCGATGGATACTTATAACTACCGTCCCGCCCTAGCATAACAAGTCTGCCATTCGGGTCCAGTCCTGATACATATACGTTTCCTCCTGAGCTTGGCAACTTGTTGACGATGTCGATCGCCAGGCGTCCTCCACTAGTAGCTTCAACCCCGGCATAGTCTGCCGGTGCTTGAGAGTAGTCAGAGGCTGTTATGTTAGGCCAGATCCTGGTTGCTGGACCTGGAGTCGTCACGGGCGTGGTGTTGCTGTGATTAGAAGGCGCATTTCCTGCAAGGGTTTCGTTTCCCCATGAAGTCGCGTTCAATGTGTTGCAATCTCTGACCCAGACGTCTTCTATTCTGCTGCCAGGGTAGACAATCAGTGGCATTGCTGTGGCCTGCCGGAGCAGAAGGAACAAAATGTGTATAATGACAAGGTTGTACATAGTTAGCAATGAACGGGATGTATTCGAGGTAGGTTTCCACTCACGTTTGAACGTTTGCAGGCCGCGGTTATGTAGATGAGCGACGCTTCTAGAGTGGCAGGGACTTTGCTAGGTCTTGAGCAAGCGCTCGGTGGTGGTTTGAGTGTGGTCGGTCCACGAGGGGTAAGATGGCAAGAAAGAACCAGATTTGATGTTTATGGGGCTGTGAGAACCTCTGGGCTCTATTATTGATCAGCCTGGCACGCAATCTTGGCTCAGTATCTCTAGCCGATTTGGACGCTTGCTCCTTTGTTGGCCATCACGAATCAGTGTCCGATTACTAGAGCAAAGGAAGCTCGCAGTACAAAGCAGCGTATGGGTGGGATGGGTAGCAGTTGTCTTCTTGACAACGCTCCGACCAGTATTTCCAGAGCTCGGCGCTCCCTGCCTCGACCGGTCTAGTTCTGGAGGCCGCCGCCGAATAACCAGACAAGGCCATTCACGTTGGCATGCGAACTGGTGCGACCCGTGAATGTTCACATGAGACCTCGTTGCAATGCGGGAACGTGTGGCCGTCTTTTGTTTGTCTCGGATGTAAACAATGCTCCATTCTCTAGAGCCTTTTGCGTGCTTACACAGTTGCTTCTGTGGCCTGAGACATGTGTCGGTGTGTACGGATCGAAGGTTGAAGTATGTCTGAGGCGACGGAAAATAGAAGGCGTGATTCCACGGCAGATGAGGTTGGAGCGGACGTTGGACGTTGGACGTTGAACCACAGACACTGGACCTCATAGACACATGCCCCTAGGCTAATGTTGTTGTTGTTGTTGTGGTCTGGTCTGCGAGAGAAGAGGTCGGCGGTGCCCACTCGGGTCGGGACCACCTGATGACCGCGACCGGAGAGCACATCTGCGCGATCGCAAACCTGTTCTCCTCCAAATGAAAGGGCAGGTCGATTAGCCATCGACGGGTTGCAAACCGAAACCGTTCGCAAGCAAGACTGTAGACTCTCTGCATCCGGAAAGCATGGCGACACACGGTAAAATCGTGAATTTGTGCTTGTCCATTACCCATGGGTATCATGTCTATCTCTATCGTATCCGCTCCAACCATGCCGCTAAGTTATCACCAAGCACAAGACGCACTGATAAACATATAAGATATTTCATCTGCTCTCCACATCGGCCTTCTCCCTGGCCCCAGCCTCCTTCTCATCCTGCTCAGCCACAGAGGCCACATCTTCGCTTGCCTTGCGCTTTCGTCGTAGACTGCGAATCTTCCTTGAGGCCGCGTGGGTCCAGCGGCTGAGAGGGCGGTAAGTCTGAACAACAGGCCAGCCAACAACTTTCGCAATTGCCGCAAACCAGCTATCGGGGAAGAGGCGAACGAGCACAGCCCACGGGAGAGACATCAGACCCAGGATGATCGAGATCGCCCAGTCTTGGCCATCGAGGCGCTGAATCGAGAAGGCACGGCCACCAACGTACATGATCATGACTTGGCATCCGATCATGATGGCAAGAATGCCCAGGAAGAAGTAATTCCTGTGCGCCCCGACGAAGACATTGAACTTGTTGTCCAGACGACGGTTGTTGAGCATGTTGAAAACCTGGAACCAGACGAATGTGTTGAAGACCACGGATCGGATTTCCGAGCCATCGGCCGGGTAGTTCAGGATGCTTGGTCCAGCGTAGTAAAGAATGAAAGTGACCACAAGCTGATAGATGGCTTGTCCGATGATCATCTTCCACATGATGACACTGATGAGAGGAGCTGAACGTTTCTCAGGCTTGCGATCCAAGATCTCCTCAATAGGTGCGTCGGATGCCAAAGCAAGAGCTGCCATAGAGTCCCTGTTGGCACAGTCAGCATCAATTAGGCAGTGTCGTTCACATATACACGTACATGATAAGATTGATCCAGAGGAGCTGAACTGCCGTCAAGACACTCTTCATGTCGGCATTTGCGACCGCACTGACGAAAGTGATAATAACAGCCGTAATATTCACAGTGATCTGGAACTGTAGGAACTTGCGAACAGCATCATTCACAGCACGACCCCACATCAAAGCTGTTAGAATCGATGCAAAGTTGTCGTCCATTAGGATAATTGCAGAGGCTTCTTTGGCGACTTCAGTTCCGGCGACACCCATAGAGAAACCAATATCGGCAGCTTTGAGGGCAGGACCATCGTTCGTCCCGTCTCCCGTAACTGCGACGATTTCTCCTTGTGCGCGAAGTGCTGTGACAAGGATTCGTTTGTCCTCAGGAGATGATCGGGCGAGTACTTGAAGCTTAGGAAGGATGTCGTTCATGTGCTGCTCGTCCAAGGTACGGAAGATGGGACCTTCCATGACAACACCTCCAGTGTAGATTCCACACTCCATAGCAATGGCCTTTGCGGTAGTGACATTGTCGCCAGTAACCATACGGACTGACACACCGGCGTGGTGGCATTTAGCAACAGCTTCTGGAACACCAGGGCGAACTGGATCCTGAATACCAACCAAACCATCGAAAGTCATGTCCTTGAGGCAGAGATCCAAATCAGCGGAGCTCGGGTCATTCTCGACTGCGCAACCGACCGGTGGCCACTGCGAAAAGTTGCGGGAGATGAGAGCGATGGTTCGAAGCGACTGTTGAGCGTACGAGTCGATAACAGATTCGAGACGTTCCCGGTCTTCGGCTGTAAGCTCAAGGACGGCAGCGAAGTGAGCAATTTGAGTGCTGTGGCCAAGAAGGATCTCAGAAGCACCCTTGATGAACAGCTTGTATGAACCATCGGCAAGCTTCACGACTGCACCCATGCATTTGCGAGCAGAGTCGAAGGGCATGAGCTGAACAATGCGAGCATTGGCACGCTCCTCTGCTACTGGTCCCATTCCGAGGACTCGAGCGAAAGCAAGTAGAGCAGTCTCAGTCTTGGAGCCAACAAAGCCACCATCGTCGCTTTCAAAAGCTGTCGAGTTCACTGCAATAGCTTCAGCCAAAGCACGACGTTCTTCGTTGCTGAGCTGCTGAGCAAATGCCTGAGTGGTGGTCTCGCTGCCCGTCTTGTTCTTATCATCGAAGGAGCGCTCGCCGAAAGTTCCAGTGACCACGGTCATGACGTTTGTGGTAAGAGTACCAGTTTTGTCGGAGCAGACAGTCGTTGCGTTGCCCATTGTTTCGCAAGACTTCAGAATACGAACCAGATTGTTCAGCTTTACAAGTCGAGTTGTCGCGAAGGCAAGTGCCAGAGTGACAGCCAGAGGCAGACCCTCAGGAACGGCCACGACAATGACTGTGACTGCGACAATAAGGATGTCAAGAAATGCCGACGCCTTCTGCTCGCTCGTTCTCGGATCGCTACTCAGTTGAGCAACAAAGCGGAAAAGCAAGACGAAGAACAGAAGCAGGGCACTGACAGTACCGAGCTTGGCGATTGCAGTCGCAAGGCCGTCCAATTTGACCTGAAGAGGAGTTGGCTGCATGTCGACACGCATTGCCATCAAAATCTTGCCGTAGCTTGAGTTGACACCGACAGAAGTTGCCATATAGGTACCGAGGCCTTCGAGAACCTTGCTACCAGAGATGATGAAGCAGTCCATAGTCTTGAGATCCGTGTGGCCCTCTTCAAACATGCGCATTACTTGCTCTCCTCCGACCTTCTTAAGGGCGTCGGACTCGCCGGTCGCCGAAGACTCGTCGCACTTGACATTGTGTCCGCCGATAAAGATGCCGTCAACAGGAATCATATCACCAGGTTCAAGGTGGATGATGTCTCCTGCTAGCACATCATGCACACTAATCATGACAGATTTGCCAGATCGGATGACTTTGACCTCCCGATTCTCTTTCTTTGCGTTGAGCTTGACGAAAGCGCGTTCCTTTTGGTAGTCGTTGAGTGAGCCGACAAGGACAACAATGATGATGGCGATACAGATGGCGCACCCCTCTATCCAGTCAACCGGTGGCGGTGAAGCAGGCGGGTGGTCGACACCGAACGTTTCGTACAATCCCAACGCGAGTGAAATGGCGGCGGCAACAGTAAGCAGAATCAGGACTTTGTCGTTGTACGCCATCCACATGAGCTTCCACAGTGGCGTTGCCTTCTTTTCGGGTAGAGCATTGTTGCTGTATACCCTCAATCGATCAGTGAACAAGCCCTGGCCAGTCTCGGTCGCAGCCTGGTGAGCAGTAGGGTTGAGAGGAACCTCGTCCCATCCCAGATGCTTTGTCTTCTCCCCGTATTGTGTTGCTTCTTCAAAGGTTACTCGACCGTCGAGAGTCGTTTCGTCGGCGCTTAGACCGGATTGCAGGTCGGTTCGCAGTCCACGCTCAATACCTCTGATACCACCAAGAGCCTTGTAAGCTGCGAGCGACTTGGGATTGAGGAGCTTGTTGAGCTGTCCTGGCGAGAAAGCGAATTTGTTTTCCTTGACTTGAAAGTCCTGCTCGTGGCCTGGATCCGGCTCCAGAGCATCCTCCAGTTCCAGATCGCTAAAATTGCTCGAAGCGCTGCTCCCCTTCTCGCCGTACGATGAATTGGGCACTTTCAATGTCGAGGACTGAGTGCTACCGCTTAAGGATCGGTCTCGTCCGTTCCATGTTGGAGTTGCAAGCATATTCGGTGATCCAGGTGTGTTCCGACTGTTCTTGGGAGTGGTAGGTGTTATTTCATTCTCATCGTCTCCGGCGAGGTCCACGTCGATGCGTAAGAAGGAAGGATTTCCCGCCATGGTTACACGACCTCTTTCTTTTCGGCTATGCAGTTGTTCAAGAAGTCGTGCCTTAAGGCTGCATTAGGATATCGATGGATCTCTTGAACGGCGGCCTGCTGGAGAGTCTTTGAGCACGAAGGCATCGTGTGTGTGTGGCCACCTGCTTGCAGATGATGTGACACCAAGCGAGGCGCAGCGCTCCCTCCCCTCCAGCTCCATCGGCGGCATCTCGCTCTTGGGCCATTACTTCGCCCATCGCCTGGCAATTGCTGCTCCACAGATGATTCGTGCTGTACACGCGGAGCCCACGGCCGTCAGACCACGGCAGCCAGACCACTGCGCAGTGCAGCGGCTAAGACCCAAAAGCGTTCGACGCATGTGAAGCGCAACATTCTTTGTTCATTGCGCAGCTCGGCGGAGCCAAGTGACGACTTTCTGGAACGTGACGTTGAGACGGGATGGTGGCGGCCAGTACAGTAAGCGCCGGCGTTGTATTGTAGACGAGAGGTAGAGGCAGCGCGGATGTGGGATGGATACCGATACAGTACATGAGAAGAAGAAGCTAAGCTCCGCACCCTGGTCGCCGGCCGTCGCTCTCGCATCGCCTGAGCCCGCAGAAACCTGAGGCATGACTGTAGAAGAACGACACATTCACAGCCTCGCAGCCCTCGCTCTCACCTCGTCTTCGCTTTCTGACCACCACCACCACCACCCCACAGCCCGCTGACGATCGCGACTCGGATCAACATGAAAGGCCACGTCGTCGCCGTCGCAACCCAATCCATCGCCGTCCAGTCCTTCACTGCTGCCCACGATGCCCACCCGCCAACGGCCTCCGCAAGAGAATGAGTGTACAGGATGTCCGAGAGCAAGATGGCAGCGCAAAGCAGTCTCCACACACGTATGTCGTCGACGGCCCTCATGATGACGGCCTCGGCGAAGATGATGACCAGCCATCCGCCGCCGAGCTCAGTGTACACAAACTTGGTGAGGGGATCAATGCTGGTAACGGTCTCTCGCGTGAGGCTAGACAGATAATCTCCCGGCTTTGTGAGGCAAAGGACAACGCCTCCAACGGCAAACAGTGGCTCCAGAGTCGTGATAAGGAACCGGCCGATCCAGGGTACCACCGATGAGGCTTTGGTGATGGTAACGTTCTGCGTAGCCATGGTGACAGGGTCGGGAAGTCCACTATTGCGCAAGCTTCGGATCTCAAATCTTTCGCGAAAGAGTCGATTGCAGGATGCTTTCAGACAGACACGTACACCACTGGTGATAACCGTGATATAGGGAGAACAGCCTCAATGTGCGGACCGGACCGGAGCGAGCACATCCGGTCTCTCCTCAGCAAGGGATCCTGTCAGGCCCGGCAGATAGCAGGGAGTATCGGGTACTCTACTGAGACGATTCACAGTAAGGTGAATACTCTAGAGTAGGGCCATTCCCGTTCAGTTCAGAAATCATGGTGCAGATTTGGCCATTGCGAGTTGACAGTGCTCTGTCCAATTTCACCGCCGACATACTATGTCGCAGCATCCACCCATGTCCGAGTTGATCGACACGTCCAGCAATGGTCAGTATCATGATCTTGACGATGCTGAGCAGTACTACTGGTGAAGAACGTTATGGCAATGGTGAGATCGTTCATCTCATATGGACGCGAATTCGTTCTCGGAACCACGAATCTTTCGCCGTCGGCTTATTTTACGCAATCTTTGGCACGTTGCCTTATACAACAACGCTCAACCAACCCTTCGCTCGTCCTTTTGCCATTACACCTGAGTTCAAGACTAATGATGGCTATAGAGAAGCTCATAACAATTGTCTCTGGCTCGTCGTCATGACGAGGTTGCTTGGTCAAACATGGGGACCGTTCGTTGCAGCATCCATACTACAGACAGTATGTATATATGAAAGATGTCGACAGACGTAAGTAGCATTTCATTACCATCTCCAATCTTCAAGCAGCCTCAAAAGCAGGATTGTACACTCGACTGTTACGAAAGCCATCATCAGAATGCGATTCGATGTCGTAAGTGAGAATCAAACTCCAGAATCGCGAAGACAGACTGAACATGGCCAGTCCTCCGCGATACTCTTCAGCGTTATGGCCCTCTTCAGCCTGGCCGTGACTGCGTCAATCCCTTCGCCCAGCGTAAGAGACATCTCCCGTCGACAATTACCACACTTCCTCCAGTACTTCATCAACCCGATCCGCATTCCATACACGCCATACAAAGGTGATGGCTCCGAAGCATCCGGTTGGCCTTCACAGAGCTCCTGGATGCCATTTCAACAACTCTGGTTCATAAATCAACAGGCCATAATTTCTCGAACCTGCGACAACACGGAAACAGAGACTGGCTGGTTACTAGGCGCCATACATCAAGTCTCGATCAGCACAAGCGTCGACCCGCGCTTCATTCTCGCGGTCATAATCGAAGAGTCTCGAGGCTGCGTTCGTGTGCAGAGCACGAGTCTCGCAGTGCAGAATCCAGGATTGATGCAGAGCTACGAAGGCAAAGGATCGTGTTCTGATCCCGTCGTCCAGAGACCTTGTCCTTACGCAGAGATTGCCCAAATGTTGAGTGACGGGACAGCTAGTAATGAAGCTGGAGTGAACTTGAAGGATCTTATAGCCGCCAGTGGGAAGAGCGATGTCAGCAAGTACTACATCGCCGCGAGAATGTATAATAGTGGACCGCACTCGATACCAGAAGATGGGGAGCTGAGTGGGCCTGGAGCCAATCCGTGCTATGCAGCGGACATTGCGAATAGATTGTTGGGGTATGTTGGAGGCAGCTGTGGGGTTCAGGCATAATTCGTCGGAAAACTTAGGTTAGGGTAGTCGAATAGTGATAATGCACAAATTTTATGGTAGTTTGCTGTTGTCGACGCCTTGACATGGTTCGAATGGTCGGCAGAGAGGTTCGCAGACAGTGCCTTTCGCAGGTAGCTCTCCGCTTTCAACGTACTTCTTCACATGTTTCCACATACATTCGCTTGGAGGCCACAGCGAGCCATGTCCAGCACCGGCCTGCTCAAGATAGACACTGCCATTGAATCTGCCAGCCATCTTTTCGGCGTTCTTGGCGGAAGTGGCAGGATCGAATCGGTTGTTGACAAAGAGGATCCTAGCATCGCCTTGGAATGGTCCTGCGAATCGCCACTTCGTTCGCAAAGACCGTGGCCACGTCCAACAAGAGATTTTGTACTCGGCTTGTAATCCTGCGGATTCCAGACCGAATCGTTCAGTTAAATTACCCAAGTAGGCTTTGAACTCGGATAATGGCTCATCTGAAAGTGCAGGTCCATCGCTGCAATGCACTGCCGGGCCAACTTCGCCGCCCTGATACTTCTGTTGCAGCAATTTGTCGGTGAAAGTATCCTTAGTCGGTACTGCACGTTCCCAGAATGGTATGCCTGGATTCACGTCGGACAGGACATCGTTCAAGAACTTTGCAAAAGGCTGGAAGTAGAACAAGGGCTGATAGGTAGCCATCAAGAATCCGTCCTGGATTTCTGCAGTCGTAATGGGCATAGCCCGACCGTTGCCAGTGGCATACTGCGGGAACTCACCGAGCGACTTTACGAGATCGTTGAAACGTCTCCTGACGTCCTCGGGACTGTGATCCTCTTTTCTGTAGAAGTCGCATTTTGCCCGGCTGGCGAAGCATGTGTCGAAGAAGTAGTCCCGGATCTTGCTATGATCGTCGATGCCAGCTTCATACCGAGATACCCAATTATCGGGATCAATGTTCGCGTCCAAGACCATTCGACCGACATGTTGAGGAAACATGGCTGCAAAAGCTTGTCCTAGAAATGTCCCATACGAAGTCCCAAAATATTGAAGCTTTCCAGCTGAATGCGAGCGAGAGGTTGCCGTTGCCAGTGTCTGCTGCCCATCATCGTGACTGCCTGAAGGCGACCAATGAAGCGCAGAGAGCTGATGCTGGTCAATCTTGTTGACGATCTCCAGAAGGTCGCGTGCCACGTACGCCGTAGACATATATTGCCTTAAATTGTCGCCATTTTCGTATTTGCCGTTTCCGGAATTGGCACATAGCTCCCCACGAGCTTTCTCGGCTGCCCAGTTGTATTTCAATGCATAGTCACCAGAGCCCAAACCCCCTACGGCTGCCTTTTGATCATACCATATCTCAGCTTGCATCGCATTCTCAAAGCAGTAAGCATTCGGAGTCGAGCTGAAGACACCTCTGGGATCAAAGGATAGAATTTCATAATGTTTTGTGCCAGCCAGCTGATCCTGTAGCATTTCTGCATTCTCCAGCGCCCAAAGCGTACCGGGTCCGCCTGGCCCTCCTGGATTCGTGATGATTGTGCCTCCATGGCTGGGATCAGAATCGGGCACTTTTGCGGGCAGGCGAATCAGCGCAAGGCTGATATTGTTGGGATTCGACGCATTTCGCCAGTCGAGAGGAACAATCAGTCGCGCGCAATCGAATTTGTCGAAGCATTTGGACCAGACTAGATCTTCTGAACTTGGAATCGACTCGAAGTCGAAATGAGATTGCGTGGAATTGGGTGCCAAGTAGGTCTGTGGCAATACAGCTTGCGCTTTTTTGATGTTCCATAGGCCTGCCAGTAGGATTGAGTGCTTTATAGATGTCATGGCGTTGTAAGGAACGAGAAGGCAAGCAAGCATACAGCAAGGAAAACTGCAACGTTGGTGAGATAAGAACCAAAACTTAGCTGGCCCGAGTACGGCGCTTGGCGCGGATATACTGTACACTGTGTACAGCGTGTACTCCTTCCAACAGGCAGCCAGACATCACAAGCAATTTCGGTGCAGCTTCAATATGTATCCAGGCTGGGATGGATGGTACTTGTGAGAGATGTAGATGGATTAGGAGGCAGAAGAATCGTCAACGACGAAACGGTTCGGACGTGATGTTTATCAGTGCTTCGGCGAGCACATCCTCGTCACGGGGCTTGCCACGGTGTCTCCCTTGAAAAGACAACACTGCCTGCCTTTGCATGAAAATGTGCACTGAGCAAAACATCCCGAAAGCCTCGTAGTATTACATTAGATGGCTTTGCACCGATCCAGCGAAACTCGACCTTGTAAGAAAAAGATGGCTTGGGTCGGAATTTTGGAAGCTACTAAAAAGTCGGACACTGCTACCTATGGCGAGGCAAGTGCCAGGATTTGTACGGCGAATGCCCTTTGAATGAAATTGTAGTCAGCGTTGATGAGAAGCTGCTGCCGAATCGGCAGCTGGTTCGGGCGCGGCGCTATAACGAGGTCTGGAGCCCTTCTTGGATCGTCCTTCGAAGGAGCCCTCGCAGCTAAAGCCATATGCGTACATAATTGTGCTGGCTCATCACAATTTCGAAAGCTCGCCAAAGCTAAACAGATTCCTCCCCTCTGGCCCTGCTTTCACTCTACCCCTTCTATTGATAGGCTCGACTTCCCAGCTACACAGCTGGCGTAGAGTCTCGTCGTCAGCATGATTCGCCAGAAATCTGTGGCCATTCTTTAATCTTCCAACAATATGTCCTCTCAATGGACTACCGTCTCTGTTGTACTCAACGGTATATGTCTCAACAACAGCATCTCCTTCGGGCTGCTCTGCGATTGGAGGTATCTGGACATCGGTGACCACTTTCGGCAATGGAGCTTCATCCGGGTATGGCAGACCGTCGCTCCTTGGGCTGCTGGAAAGAATGATCGCGTGCTCATAGGATACCCAGCCACCATTGGCAAGCACGAGGCCGGTCTTGCCCTTGCCTGCTCGCAATTGACGCACCATCTCCGAGATCGCGTGCATTGAGTAATTGTTGCCAGCTCCGCCAAAGCTGGTCAAGCCGCCGAGTAGTGTAATGGGCTTAGGCGAGCCGACTATTGGCAAATCCAGGTGCTCACATGCTAGCTTGGGCACTATCGGGAAACAGGAGTAGAAGTCGTAGAGGTCGATGTCGGATTTATCGATTGCAGAAACATCAAGAGCGGTGTCTAGAGAACGGGATATCGATGGACTCCACCAGTATGCTGGCCTTTTCCAAAAGTCGGAGCTGTCAGCAGTTCCTGCTCCGCCAAGTGGATACACCCATTTGTGAGATGGGATGCCAAGCTCCCTCGCGTAGTCAGTGCTAGTCACGATTGCAGCCGCAGATAGGTTCACAGTGTTGAAAGCATTCATGAGGAGAGGATCTAAAACATATCAGCTTTCGGTTAGATGTCCTCGAGGCGGCCATTCTGAACGCACATGGAAAGCATATCATCCGATTCTTCTTCGATACGGTCTTGATGTCTTCCTCGGTCGGAGCCGGAGCCGGGTAATTCCAGGCATATTCGGTTTTATCTGCGACTTTCGCAAACTCTGCGTACATTTTCGCTGACTCGACGTGGTTGTCACGTAAGGTCTGATTCCGGCGTGCACGGAAAGCGTTCTCGTACAACGGATAAATCTGAATCGGATTGCCTGCGCGAGGACATATTCAGTGAGTAGGATTGAAGGACGACTTCATGCGAGAGGAGCACGAACCGATCTTGTGTCTTGCACCATAAGCTAAATTATTGTCAATGATCACACAGTGAGAAATTGAAGTTGGTTGCCCACTTACTCTCCTTCAATTCCCTGGTTGTCGGGGAGAATACAGAGCGTACTTCTTTGCTCGGAGTGGTCCAACCAGGAGGGGGCATCTTATTCGCCGCAGCACACGCCGTTACTGATCGGAGACTTCAGCAATTCATCGACGATGACCTCGAGCGGACTCACATGATGCCAATGCCTCGCCACCGGTGACAACTGCTACTCTATTCTCGCCCATGGACACTCGGCGGGCGGCTTCATCTAGCAGATGTGCGGGCTCATTGCCGCCATGATCGCTAATGTGAGCATGCAAAGGTTTGACAGCAAGTCGCTCTGCAATCAGACGGGGATAGTCACAGGGCCACGTCCAGCATGCAACCACGTCTATACTATCGATGGCGGATTGCAGAGTTGCCAGGGATGATGCAGCCAACTCGGTGTCTTTGATGGCATTCTGAATGGCCATGATCATCAGCTGCAATGGCTCTATCGCACCTTCGATTCTTTTCGATCTGTTCACCACATCTCCGACGCCAATGATGACGGGCTGTAGGTCGTATCAGCCTCGAAGAAGATGCGGTCAGTTCAGCTTTCCATACAGTTTTCCGGGAGGATCGTGTCATGGCTGTTCCCTTTTGTGAGAGCTCAAGATCTCTCTGTCTACCAGGTCACACCAGTGTATCTTCGACTGCTGTCGTCGGTGGTGGTGGTGGACAGGTCACAAGTGGCTGTTCATGCTGCTGGCCTCGACCGATGCGGTCCGATGTGGAGTGATGCTTTCCCTCGGCTGTTGCTAGCCGAATCCTTGCCGAGCTGTTACGGAACAAGGAAGTAACGGTCTAGGGGTTGGCTGACTAATGGAGCAACGGCTCTACCTGTAATTAGCCTTCCTTAACTCTATATAACTATTATCAATCTCAACTTTATAACAATTAGTAGCTTCGCTTATACTAAACCCTTACGCTACTAGGAGTTATTTAAGATACTACTAGGACGAGGTAACTAGATCGGGCTAATCCGACTAAGAGCCTAACTACTTCCCCTTACCACTTTATTACGACCGTATATACGGGGTAACGCATGTCTATATAAACCCTATAGACAACGACTACGCTTTCGCTATATATATATAAACTAACTAGATTACTAATATAGAGGTTAGGTCTTATCTAGGACGCTTTCTATAGGACTTCTAGGCGATAGAGACCTATCCCCCTAAGTAGCTCGACTTACCGGTATACCGACAACCTATATAGAACTCGTTCCTATAGTTCTATAAAAGAAGATATAGGCTAAATTTACTATCTACGACTACTATAGCAAGCAGATCCGGAAGGCACTTACCCGTAAAGGGGAAGTTACTTTCTAAGTTAAGGGCAGCTGCTTCTAGATCGCTATAGCAGTTATAACAGCCTCTACGGCAATCGCCTAAGACTATAATAATAATAATAGCAACTTTTACTATAAGTATATAACCTTCGACTACGTCGACGGCTTAACCTATAATAGCTACTATATAGGTAACGAGCGTCTAGCCTCCTACTATAGCGGAACAAGGGGACGCTATCTCGGCGGAAATAATAGCCGCTATTTAGGCGGCAGTTGCCTAGGCACTAGTAGGCTAGGCCTAGGCTCCGGCGGTAGGTAATAGAAATAGGAATAGAACGCCTATCTTTAATAAGGCTAGCAACCTAGACTAAATGCGGGACTAGGAAATTAGTTTCTTCTAACTAGACCTACTAAAGAGAGAGGACGACCCGATAGTCGTAGGATCCGATATCTTCTTCTAAGATATTAATATCTTTATTAAACGACTAAAGAATGTTATAGCGTATTATAGCAACGATCGAGTTAAGTCTAGAATCCCTATACTACTACGAGGTACGGCCTTAACCTAGTATACTAATATGCTTAATAACCTAGCAAAATAAGGCCTTCGCTATATACTAGGTCTAGACTATTAGTTTATAACGCTACGAGAGAACTTCTAGACGCTACTATCTAAGCCGCTAAACGAGCTAACGCGGCTTAAATATACGTTATTAGACGTAGGCAACTATTATACGAGGGACGATTAGTAAGTTAGCTATAGTATAGTATTAGGGTAAGTATCTACGGTTCTACGGAAAGTATATACCGGGCTTAGCTAGCGTACTGTCCCTGCTGTAATAGCACCCCTGTCCGACAGAACGAAGGCTAGCGTACTATATTAGCTAAACCCCTTCTTATATACTCCTTCCGCTTTTGCTCGTTTTCCTTACCGCTTGTATTCGTATTATACGTTCGTATTATGCTTTCTTGTCGTCTCGAGTATATCCTCCTCTCCTTAGTCTAAGTCTACTAGTTTAGCGCGCGTCTTCTTAGTAGCGGACTTTAGCGTAGCCTTAGTATCGGAGCTAGTTATAAAGTTTGCGTATTAGCGTCGTCTCTTTTAGTTAGATGTCTCGCTAGTGCTAGTACTAGCTCGCTTATGCTTTGTTCCGCTATTCTTGTCTTATGTCTTATATACGCCGACGTACTAGACTTACTTTAGCGTTTTAGGTATAGGTATCGAGGCAGGTACCGAGGCTAGTAGGGATAAGGCGCGATCGAAGGGTTAGCGCTTCTAGATTTTCGGTAGCTTGTTTTTATCCTTGCCTTTTAGTAGGGGGAAGGCCTTGCCCTTGCTCTTAGAGGCTAGGGCGAGAGTACTAGCGTCGGCGGCGCCGTATCGCGACTTAGTCTTACGCTTCTCTAATAGTTGCAGCGTAGCTAGCGCTTCTTCGTTAGTAGCTACGGTGCTAACGAGAGTCTTAGACTTAATAGCTATAGCGAGCTCGTCCGGTAGGTAGAGGTATAGGTCGGCGCGTTGCTCGTCGGTAAGCGACTAGTATCGTCCTATAATACCTATATACCCTAGTCCGCGGTACAACTTTACTAGATCTGCGTCCTCTATAGCGTAATCGTACTTAATGTCTTTTAGTAGTAGGCCCTTCTTATTGCGAGTAGTAACCTAATCGCGGTCTACGCTCGGCGTATAGCCTAATTGCAGCTAGAGATGTGCTATACGTAGGAAATAGTCGAGCGCGACATCCGTTAGTATACTGTCTTCGTTAGTTGTATTATAGGCCTATATGTTCGTAAGGGCGTAGTCTAGGATTGCCTCGACATCGATCTCTATTAGCTACTCTACTATAGCGGCCTTAAAGGTAAGATAGGACAGGGAAATAATTTAGAGCTACTTCTTATATAGGTCGTAGTTTAGGTCCTTATAGTACTTCCGCTAGCGCGCCTACTATTAGCGTAAAGAGGTAACTAGCTTAGTTTCGCCCTCGATATCTAGCGATATTATAGTCGTAATTATCGCCTAGTTGCTTATATTATCGATATACGTCTAGGTAACCTAATCTAGGGCCTTATAGCGGAAGGTGCCGCTGCCTATAAGTATAGTATAATAGGCAATAGCGGCAATCTTATGTGTTTCGTTAGGATGCTACTTATAGTATAGGTACGGCGGGCTAATTAGCTTACGCTTAGAGCGTAGATATCCCTATGCCTCGACGGAGCACGTATACTACTTTCCGAGATCCTTTAAGCCGATAGTAGTGTCGTCGACCTTACGGTATATTATTCCTAATTTAAAGTCGGATAAGCAGGTGCCTATCGGTAGTATATAATCTATTGTCTTAAATCCTAGCGTATTATATATTAGTACTACTATATTAGCTTAATACTGCGACTCTAACTAGTCTTCTATACTAGTATACTGCATGCTAGAGCGCTAGAAGTTCTTATCCTTATCTATATTAACCGCTCTATAGCGTACCTTCTTCTTATCTATAATAGCCCGGCTGTCTTCCTAATCGTCGTCCTTATCCGCCTTACCCTTATTTATCTTAGCTACTTTAGCCGCTCTACGGCGCTACTTCTCCTCCTTTACGTCTATTAGGGCGTCCTCCTTATCGTCGTCCTCCTTTTATCTCTTAGGCGTATCTATTACGTCGTCGATAGCAGATACGTCGCTAGCGTTATCGGTATAGTCCTCGGCTTATATAAGGTCCTAAACGTTAGCGTCCTCGGCATCGGCTTACGTAGAGTCCTAATTGTCCTTAGTGTCGTTAGTAGGCTTATCGTAGGTAATAGGATCGGCGCTATCGGTAGGCTCGGCGTAATCGGTAGGCTCGTCCGATATCTCGTTTTTATAGTTAGCGGCTAGAGGGTTAGCGTCGTGCTCTACTGCCGTACGCGTCTATAGTAGCGTATAGAGTAATAGAGTCGGTCCTAAGACTAGCGGGCCTCTATAGTATCCCTAGACGCGGTCGAATATAGCTTAGAGCCTACTACGTAGGTTTATACTAGGTACCGGAGTAGGGTAAAAGTCGCTAATAAATTCTTTAAAGTACTCGTTTATGTAAGTAGTCTTATATACCGAGCTAAGGAATTAGTATTCGTATACTAGTTAGAGCGTAATTTGTCCTATATAGGCTAACTTGTCTATTATTATAACACGCTCGATAATATTATTGTCCTCTTTTATAGCGACCTTAACGGCGTTTACTGTTGTTATATAGAAGAGGGCGGCTATGCGCTAGCAGGCGCCTAATACCTTTATAGCGTCTTAAATATCTCTATTTATATTAACGCTGTCTAGGATTAGATATTACGGTCGCTTACCGTCGTTCTAATCGCCGTACTATAAGTCGTCGCTATTGTTAGCGTTTTAGCGTACTAGAGAGTCGCCGTCGTCGTAAGCGTCGTCGCGTACTAGAGAGTCGTCGCCGCCGTTAGGGTTCTTACGTACTAGAGAGTTATAGTCGATAGAGGCTAGGGTATCGTTATACTCGGTCTCCTCGTCGTATATTTATACGAGCGTTTCTACCTTAGGGTCGTTCGCTATAACGTACTATTCTAGATTATACTCGTTATTAAAGTAAGTAGTTTCTATTACGCGAATCCTCGCCCCTAACCTATCTTTCGAGGTTAGAATAAACGCGTCGCCTACTTCGGTAAGGCTTATGCCGACGTTAGCTTCTAGTAACTCCTACGCGAACTTAGCGTCTAGTATAGTCTTTATATTTAGGAACGCGATAGGGACGGCCTCGGTTAGCTATACTGCCGTTATAGGCTCTATTACGTAGACTAAAATTGCCTCTATTGCTACCTCCTAGAGCTCTTTATTGCGTTCTTACACCTCTATAGGGTCCTATATCTCGGTGTCCTATCCTAGAGCCTTACTTCCTACTACGGTCGATAATGTAGCGACTAGACCTATCTTCTTCTTATAGTCGGCGTCCTTAGGTATGTCCTTCGGCGACTTATTAGTAGCGGCGTCCTCTACGTTGCTAACGTCCTTTAGTAGTCGTAGCTACTTAGTAGCCTTTTGCGGTTATCGCTCGTTAATAGTCTTTAGCTAGTATAGGCGATCTCGTAATAGCTTAGCATCCGCCTAGGGAAGCTTACCTACCGCCTTTTTATATACTACTTAGCTATATAAGGTAAGCACCTATTCGCTGTCTACTATAATTACTATACTGTTCTCGTCTTCTATCTATCTACTAAGCTCCTTGTCGATAGAACGCGCTATTATCGTATATCTAAGGAGGGTCTAGACGTTCTTATAGATAGCGTTAAGCGTTATCTTTCG